GTTTATGAAACTGATTCTATCATGCTTCAAGGTAACTCAGGATACAAGTTTGTCACACATGGCCCGTTATGGTCAACTGGTTAGGGCGCTCGACTCGCAATCTGCAAGTCGCGGGTTCGAATCCCCGTCCCACCAAACACGCTCGCCCTTTCAGCCGTGGTGGCGTTATAAGGTGACGGTCAATCCCATTATTCGTTGGTAAAAAGAGTAGGCCAAGAGTCGGCGGTGGGAGGTGATGACTAGCAGCCTTCCCTCTAGTCTTACACCGAAAATTTAGGGACGGCTAGTGGAGATAGCCCTCGTGTAGCTTTGCGCGAAATTTAAAACAATGTCACATATAAATTATCCAAGGGTTCTAATAAAAAAATATTGCTCGTGCAGAAGAAATTAGGGTAACAGAAGCCCAAAAGGGGAAGATGAAGTACCACCACAGAAACAGCAGCAATAAGATGGTTAAGTTGCTGGTGATAAAGTTTCGATTCCACTAATAAAATGTTGTAAAGAAACTTGTGTTTCGGGTATTAAAAGGCTCTTTGTTTTCAGTTACCAAAGTACATAGCTAGTTAAATAGGGTACCATCTTTTAGTCTGGGGGTTCAAATACATCCCAGTTGTGTAAGGTGTAAACTGACGTAGTATACGAAGGGTTACAGATAAGCTTAAAAAGAAGTACCTGTTATTATTTTTAGATGATTGATCATTATATTAGCACTAGAGTTTGTGATTTCTGTTTTATTTTTAGAAGTTTAAGCACAGATAGAACTTGTATCTTAATATTTGATGTATATTACATTTTATCTAATATAATATTAGTTCATTTGGGGTATTTCATTAAAATCATTATTTCTTATTTCATTTATTTTTAGTAACCCTTTTTTAGTTTCAGGGGTTTGTCTTCTTATAAAAAAAAATCATAATATAATTTGTATTTTCTAGCCAACAATAGTTTGGGAAGCTCTCTAGAAGCAGATCTGCAGGATAACTTTGAAGTACCCAAACATCCAGTTTTTAGTCCTACTTTTATCCTTGTCATTACGGCTCTCTGTCTGACAGCAGTTGTGTTGGTGATGGTGCTGGTTTTGGCCTTCCGGAGAATTCGGAAATATCGTCGCGGCTACAATGCCACTCCAACGGTAGACGTGGATATAGATCTGGATAAACTTCCTTCAAACATTTCTTACCACAAAACTGGAGCAAAACTAAATCCAAAACTAGAGGGCCTAGAATTCCCTCGGAATGACATCTTGTATATCCGGGATATTGGACAGGGTGCTTTTGGGAGGGTATTTCAGGCCAAGGTCCCAGGAGTGGTCAAGGATGACGAGTTCACCATGGTAGCAGTCAAGATGCTGAAAGAAGAGGCTAGCGAAGACCTCCAGAGTGATTTTGAGAGGGAAGCTTGTCTCCTAGCCGAATTTGATCATCCCAACATCGTGAAGCTCCTGGGAGTATGTGCTGTTGGTAAACCAATGTGTTTTTTGTTTGAGTATATGGGGAGAGGTGACCTGAACGGGTTCCTCCGATCTTGCTCCCCCAGTAACTACATCGTTCGAGCGGCAAAGAACAACATTTTCAACGATGTTCGCTTAAACCACTGGGATCTGGTGAACATAGCCAGGCAGGTAGCAGCAGGTATGAGTTATCTTTCAGAGAGGAAATTTGTCCACCGTGACCTTGCTACCAGAAACTGTCTGATTAATGACGACATGGTTGTGAAAATCTCAGACTTTGGTCTTTCTCAAAAAATCTATACTGCTAACTATTATAAAGGCAGCGAGCACGACGCCATCCCTATCCGTTGGATGCCGTTGGAGTCCATTCTCTACAACAAATTTACTGTGGAGTCTGATATCTGGGCTTTCGGGATCATGGTTTGGGAAATTTTTTCTTTCGCTCTTCAACCATACTATGGAATGACTCACGAGGAAGTGGTCAAGTTCATTCAAGAAGGCAACGTACTTTCGTGTCCTGAAAATACTCCACTTTCTATCTACAATCTGATGAAGAGATGTTGGAACAAGAAACCAACCAACAGACCATCCTTTAAAGTCATATATAAAACACTTTGTGCTGTTCATGAAGAAATGGTCAAAAATCAATACAGTCGACCCACAGTTCATTTCTAATCGTACCTAACCATACTCTTCCTGATTAAAAATCATTACAGTAAGCCCTTAGCTCACGTTTAATTGTACTTAGATGAATGCTTCTTCCATATTTCATATAAATCGCTACGAGGGGTGAGCAATCCACCTCTAATCCTACCTAGTCCAGGTGTGTTTATACACTGGTTAAATACCATAGCAATGGGGTAACAATCCTACCTAGTCCAGGTGTGTTTATACACTGGTTAAATACCATAGGAATGGGGTAACAATCCACCTCTAATCCTACCTAGTCCAGGTGTGTTTATACACTGGTTAAATACCATAGCAATGGGGTAACAATCCTACCTAGTCCAGGTGTGTTTATACACTGGTTAAATACCATAGCAATGGAGTAACAATCCATCTCTAATCCTACCCAGTACA